ATTCCTTGCAACCAAAAGAACCTTCTTGATCTTTGAGCTTCATAAAAAATATCATAAAAAGCATTCAAAAAAGGAGAGATGAGGGGGGAGGAAATCAAATCTTGAAGATGGAGGCTAGGGTTTCTTCCAAGGGGTTCTAGATATGATGGAGGATGCTAAAATGCCCAAAAATGCGGAACCTTACGCTTAAATACGTTGAAAACCCTAAAATCATGGGCTTAGGCTTGATAGACTGCCACTCTGTGGACACGTTTCTCCACTCCGTGGCTTGCCACGTTGTGGAGCTTTGATCTCTATTCTGTGGTGATGGTTTTTCAACCAAATCCATTCCAGCTTCAACCAACTATAACTTCTTCATTTCAACTTCGTTTTCAACGATCTTTATATGCACGAAAATGTATTGACGATCCCCAAAACCCTATCTAGTTAACATATCAAACTAAAATCATAATTCATACAAGAAGTCCAAAACATTACTTTTCCCAGTTTACCATTTGACTCCAAAACACAAACCAAGGGCTTAGGTCACATAACCAATATTATCAACATCCAATAAGGTCTACAGCCTATTCCCTTGAAGCCCAAGGCCTTTACCTGATCCATTTATTGTCCGTAATCCTAAAATAAGAAACTTCTCAAAATAGGATGTTACATGTAGGAAAACAGGATCCCCACTCCCAAACCACCATCATCATGAGACATCATAATCTTATCCCAACGAACCCAATGAAGTTTCCTATCACCCATTTCAACTCCACGTAACGCTCTAAGAGACTCCAAAGTTTTCAAAACTTTGATAAGAGTTGAGAAAATTGATAAAAAAAAAAAGAACCAAGGGAACCCAACACAAACTTAATAAGAGTAAGTGTAGCACCTATCGAAAGCATGTTCACTTTCCACTTGTTAAGCTTGATGGACAACTTATCAATAACATGTTGTCAGGTAGTTACCCTAGACATATTCTCTTCCACCGGGATACCTAAATAACTAAATGGAAACCACATAGCCACATACCTAATAAATCTAGCTGCTTCCTCCACTTGACCAAAAGAAACCCCAACACTAATTAACTTACTTTTAAGTAACTTAATTCGAATACCCGACGCCAGATAAAAATACCGCAAAATGCGAACAACGTGCCTCAAATTTTCTAAATCCCAGTCGCACATTAAAATAGCATTATCCCCAAAGATGTAACAACTCATAATCTGCACTACCAACTACGACCCCTCTGAAAATATTGGCCCATATAGACTACAACAAAACCGCATAAATGCCCTCCATAACAATACTAAACTAAAAAGGATAAATGATCATCCTGATGAAGACCCCTCTCAATGGCAAACTCATCCATTGACTAAATTCGAAGTTCTGGCGAAAGAAAGAAGACCCTTATCCAACTTCACCACACATGACGAAAACCCATAATGGTCATAATATACATTAGGTAATCCTAAGAAGCAAATTCTTTGTTTTTTTTTCTCAAAATCAACCTTGAAGACCATTTACCGCCTCCTCTGCACCTTGAACCAACTGACCACTGCATTCAACATTAAAGGTTTGTCAATAATCTGATGCTCGTTAATAAAAGTTGTCCGCTCCACACTAACCACACTCCCAATGATCCGCCTACCGATTAGCCAACAACTTCAATTATAAAGAAACTATTTTTTATATGAGTAGTATATAATTAAGAAACTCGTTAGAGTATTATTTTAGGGAAATTGAGTAATCTAACCATTAAAAACGAGGTTTAAAAAAAAACCATATTTTTTCGGTTTTTGAAAAGTAATCATTTTCTCCGGAATGCCCTAATTTCGGAGTACTGTTCATATTCCAGAGTTTTTTTTTTCAAATATATATATTTTTTGTTTTTTTTATTCCGAATGCTACATTTCATAATGTTTTGTCACCATTATTCAATAAAATGTCTAATTTTATGCACTAATATTTTATATAGTTCATTTAAATATATTTGTTTAATTTTTTGTTAAATTAAGCAAAAAAATGATTTTTTTTTCCTGAAGTTTCGGAATTGTTCTTCGGATTTCGGACTTGTTTCTAAAATTCTAGAGTTTTTTTTTTCCGAAATCCAAAATTTTATACAGAATGTTGGTCCAGAATCCGGAATGTCGTTCCGGAATCGATAAAAAAAAATGTTTTTTCTTGGTCAGGAATGCCCATTCCGAACAAAGTGGTTATTTTTGTTATATATATATATATATATATATATATATATATATAATATATATATATATATTATCTTGAAATACGAAATACACATTACATTAGAAAGTGGTTAGATTTCTTAATTTCCTTTATTTTTAATTAGGGTTGCTTTTCGTTTGCCGGTAAGTATACTTGTTACGTGAATGTTTATCATGAAAAAGAGTTAGAGCTACCTGTTGAAATCAAAATTAGAGAGTTAATATCTTCTTTGCAAGTGACTAATTTAGGTGTTAATTTAAGTGAGATTTTCGTTTCTCAATTCAATAGTAAGTTTGTGATCACGGTTTATTGCTCTCCAAGTTATAATATATTTTTTTCATCTCTTGTGGACTTACAACATCATTTTTTTCATCTCTTGTGGACGTACAACATCATGGTAAAAGCACCGTAAATCCAAGTGATAATACATATGTTAAGACTATCAGTAATACTCTCCACTACAACCGTCATGGAGAGATTCCAGATTAGCCACCAAAAGCCACGAACCCACTTCGGAGTGCATACAACGACCGGAAGAGAAGAACGAAGAGAGAGAGAGAGAGAGAGAGAGAGAGAGAGAGAGAGAGTGAGAGAGAGAGAGAAGACAGACGCCTAAGAGTAACGGATTAGTCGTCCGCCTCCGTGTTCGCCACCACACCACGAGCCACCACGGACCGACAAGATAGTATGCACGGTCGTGGTCCGTGGCCACGTCAACAACGAGCATGTTCGTTGCAGGTATACGGGATGACCTTATTGAACGTTGGTTACAACATTATACATAATTTAATGCATGAGTCATGCAAACGTAGAAAAATTAATTGTCATCACATTTATATACATATAAAAACGGTTCCAAATGTAGAGATAAGAATAGAAAAGGCATCAAACTTTAATGAATTTCTCAATGGTTGAAGGTATGGGGGTAACGAACGTCTTTTCAATATGTGAAGCATGTATGTTATGCTTCTATGCATATTTAAAATTCTCAATGCATTATTATTATTTTTTTGATAAAATTACATTGAGAGTATTCAATATATAAAGTTAAATGATTGTTTTATTGAATGGATAGAGAACACCTAATGAGAATAGTAATGGGAAAAAAACATAAAATAAAGCTAAGGGAGACGTTGAAACACCCCATGTTAAAATGTTCAGGAAAAGCACCATTCCTCATATGCTCATAAATACCATGCTTCTCGTATTTATCTTAGAAAAGTAATAATCAATTTGTTAAAATTATAAAATTTATTCGCTATTAACATAATACAAAATCAATGCCATTGAAATCGGTTCATAAAATGTTATATCCTCTGTTCTAAAAAGCATGAAACTTTCATCTGTTATATGGTTTCATTATCTTTGATTAATAACAAATACTTTAAAAAAAAATTAAAACAGTTATTCAACAAAATCAATAAATATGTTAGATCTATTGTTAATATGCAAATGAAGTCGTCTCAAATGTAACTTTAAGGACATTATATTTTGAAACATAATTTAAATCAAAATTTATCATCTTTTAAAAAAAAAAAAAGATCTAATAATTTTTTAAAAGGAAAGGCCCATCTAACAATTAAACTTTATCACCATAAACTTTCCCCACACAAGTTGTGGTCCAAATACCACCCTTCCTTATCTGTAGCACATTCAAGCCCCCCTTCCTCCTCCTTTTCTATTTCTTTTTCATCACTATAAACTTGGTCACATCAACATTTGGACCCTCTCACCCACCTTTTCTTTCGTAAGATTGTCAACCAATGTATATGGTTTTTTTTTTTTTTTTTTCTCTACAAATCACTTAGGCGTTAAAAAAACGTTTTTCTTTTTTGTTGTTTCTCTTTACAAATCCTTTAATCGAAATGTATATGTATACCTTATGTGGTGTACTTTTTTTCTCTTTGAAAAATTTAATCTAAAAAACGTTCTTACGTTAGTAGCTTCGCCATCGCCACTTCCCTCTCTCTTCCCAAAACCTATATTTGGCGTCGTCGATGCCTTGGTTGTTAATTTTCGACGAACGGAAACCAGAGATGGAGAAGGTGCAAAAACCCTACATCTTTTCCTCATCATCGCCTTGATTGCTTTTAAATAAATAAACAAATAATAAAAAATAGAAAGTTGTGTAATATAGTCACTTAATCGCTAATAACAGTGGCGGAGCTACATGGGGCGTTGGGGTACTAGAGCATCCCCAAAAAAATTGTTTTATGTATATAAAAAAATTTATTATAAACATGTTGTATGTTATTGTACCCCCCAACTAAACAGATATTGTATCCTGTATTTTAATGTCCGTGATAGGATAACTACGTGGAATATATATTGATAATGTTTGTACCCCTATCAAAATTTTTGGCTCCGCCACTGACTGATAAAGATAAAACATTCAAGTTTAATACTAACTTGATCCAAGTGAAATACAAAACATAAGAACGAAGCTAACGAATTTAGCCAAACAACATGAACGCATTGGTGTAATTTACTCTAAAGAATATGTTGGTATCCTTTGACATTAACCAGTTTAATGCTATAATGATTTATAATATTCCAAGAAATTGACAAAAATTATTGATGGCTATTTACCTTTATATATTTTAGCTTTTCTACATATGTGAAAATTACATGTGTAACCCATCCATTTATCTTAGTTGTATTCCTTATTTATTCAAAACAAGCTCCCCTACTTTAAAAAGCCTTTCTATATATTTGGAAGAATTCTTTCATCACTTACTTTGTACCTTCAATTCCATATACATTCTGAATTAATAACTTCGTTATATAAAATAATGCCTCCTGTCCACTCCAGCCCATTTCATCAAATGGAAAACCCAGCTCTTGCATCGTTTTTACAGCACACCAGTAATCGGGAAAAGCGATCAAAAAGTCGCAGTGGCAGCGGTGGCGGCGGCGGTGGTATCTTCCGCATGTTCAAGCTTCTTCCCATGCTAACCTCCGGTTGCAAGATGGTGGCACTATTAGGCCGGCCAAGAAAGCAGCTGCTAACTGATCACGCAACCACCGGAACCCTATTTGGTTACCGGAGAGGGAGAGTAAGTTTAGCCATCCAAGAAGATCCACACCGTCTCCCAGTCTTTGTGATTGAGCTTCCGATGAGCTCAACCGCGTTCCAGAAAGAAATGGCGTCAGATATCGTCAGATTATCGCTGGAAAGTGAAACTAAAACTAATAAGAAGAAGGTGTTGGAGGAATATGTGTGGGGAGTTTATTGTAATGGAAGGAAATATGGGTATTCGATACGAAGGACACAAATGACAGATGATGAACTTCATGTGATGCAGTCGCTGCGAGGGGTGTCAATGGGTGCCGGAGTTCTTCCGGGGCTGTCGGGAAAGGAGTGGGCGGTGGACGGCGAGTTGACTTATATGAGAGCAAGGTTTGACCGAGTGGTCGGAAGTAAAGATTCAGAAGCTTTTCATATGATCAATCCTGAAGGAGCTGCAGATGGCCAAGAACTCAGCATTTTCTTTGTAAGAGTACATTAGAAATTAAGGAACAGGAAAACATACTTTTATTTTTACACATGAATATGATCTAATATTTTTTGGGTTTCATATTGATGATGTAAATCATAATTTTCTAAATTTTTTTGGGAATTAATTGAGTAAAAAAAAAAAAGAATCAAACTCAAACTTATATATGGTTCTTCTTCGATTATTTTCTATAATTTAATCATCATAATATAAAATGTAGCTATAACATTTTTGGCTCTTTCTTTATGTAATTAGCTGTTTTAAATTTACCTTGTACTTTCTTATGTGATGCACTTGTTTGTAACGAATATACTTTCTTTGTCCCAAGAAAAATTTAGTATTTATGTTTGGAATTATTTTAGAGAACTCAATAATATTTTTGTTAAGTTTTTTTATTATATTTTATTTTGTTATTTATTAAAAATCCATACATAAAATTATGAATTTCATTTTGTTTCATATGCTTCCCTATTTTATTTTAACTTATATTAAAATCAATTGATACTCAAACGTATGGTTGTAAACGAACACGAACGAGGGTTTATTCATGTTCATTCATTTAAGTTAGCCGAACAAATAAACGAGCACAAACGGATAAACGAACGAGTTTTCTTGTACATGTTCGTTCGTTTAACAAATTACATTGTTCATGTTCGTTTGTTTATGTTCCTGAACATGTTAAACGAACATAAATGAACAAAGATAAACAAACATAATTAAACCTATATGAAGATAAATGAACATATAATATAGTAATATAATCAAACACAATTAAGCATATATGAACATAAAAGAAACTTATATAAACGAACATAAACGAAGGCAAACGAACAACATAAACGAACGCTCACAAACATAATCGAACGAACGAGACCATTGTTCATGTTTGTTCGTTTAACTAAACGAACGAGAATTTGTGTTCTTGTTCGTTTTTTTATTAAATAAACGAACATAAACGAACTTCCCGCCGAACGGTTCACGAACAGTTTGCTGAACGTTCAGTTCGTTTACAGCCGTACTCATCAAACGTCTTATTCGAGTATTTATCAAATTAAATATATATTTTTCTAGATAAGAAAAGTCTTATTTTCTATCACATAAAGTCGAACTTATGAGTTGGATGATATTCTATTACTTCATCTGTTTCAAACTAGGTATAAAGTTTCTTTTCTTTTCATAAAGTTTAGGAACCGAAAAAAAAAATGTATATAGATCTACATAATTTGACAAAAAACTGAATACACTGATCGATCTACTAAGTTTTACTTGAAATAGTTCCGAAGAAAATTATGCACACGACTTTAGTTTTATGTGACTAACAAGGAGTTAACATATGATATGATGTTTATCCATCGTGATGTTGCCAAAAAAGCAAAAAGTTTGTTGAGTGTGGGATTAGGAATAGTGGTAGGGAACAGTCCATATGAATTGATAAAATACAAAGGAGCGACAAAGACAAGGATGATACATTGGACTAACTTTGATGTAAGAGATGAATTACATCTTTGATTACTTTTCTAATAACCCAATTTGTAATGTTTTTCCATGTAAATCTTATTATATGAAAGTTCTATCAAATTTTATTATGGATTAATATAATTGTAGTCCAACAAGCATTCATATTATTTTATATGTTTAAAAAACAGCTCATTTTGTCCGCGTTCCGCGGGTTACATCTAATTCATTTGGCTTCTTTTTTTTTTTTAAAGATTAAAAATTAAAAATTACCGTTATGTTTTTTCGATTTTGTATAATTTTTTTCATATCTTCATCTCCGATTGAGTCTTTTTATGTTTTTGGTAAACTTTCATCTTCGAAAAAAGTATTCAAAATCTTCATCTTCGTTCTTTCGGAACAAAGTTTGTCTCCTAAATCGTGTCGATTTGTGAGGATGTATAAGATTTTCATCGAGCACCGCAGTTGCGGTATGTTGGACACCGCAATTACGATATGCCGAATATCGCACTGCCTTGCAAATGTGTCTACAATCTTCCTTTGCAATGGTACTCTGCAACCACTCTACAACTTCCCCTACCATTGTAGTCCCATTTTGTAGCTTTGTATTTTGATGTTGAAAATTATATATTAGGTCAAACGGAAGAGAAAACTCCATAACTCAAAAGGAGATCACCTATGTGGGCTAGAGTTCTTCTTCATCATTTTGCTTTCTTATGTAGGAGATTATCTATAAAAATAGTCACCTTATCCTTGTGTGGTATCCGCCAACATATTATCTCTACTGTAACATTATTATATGTATGACACTCCAAATGCTTTTAAAATGTATGGTTGTTATAAATTTCATGACATTTAGTCATGAACCACAAAATATTGTTTAACAAAAACTCTTGTTATGTAAACAAATACAAAACCTTGGGTGACAATTGTACATAACAACAACGATAGTACAAGTTAGCAAATGCTATGTTCCAATTCTATGAAATCCAAAGTCCACTTCTATTAATTTTTCACTTCTAAGTCATTGCGTTCAAACTTAGAGACACATAATATGAAACGTCTCATGACATTTAAAACAAACAATACATAATATGAAACGTCTCATGAGCTATATGGGTTTTAGACTCAACAAGTAATAAATTTTTTGAGTAATCTTTTAGTGGAATCATATTTCAAAACACTTGATGAAACTCTTAAATTTTTTAAACATTATATTACAAAGTACAAAACACATTGCATGATCATAACTTTTCAAAATAATTTCTACTCAAAACAAGTTTTTGTAAATAATAATTAAATTTGAAAAACTTTCCATAAAACTTAACTAAAATCAAACTTATGCAAAGAATAACAAAATTCAAATCATGATTTCAGATTTTTAATAAATATTTTACTTAAATCAAACTCAAAGTATTAACATATCATAAACATGCATTTAGAGCTAAAACTCAAACTTATCAACCTCTTGTAGTAAACTCCCAAAATAAAAGGAATAAAATCCTCTCTATTAAGGTAACTAGGTAAAACACCCAAATAATTCATAAAGCATGAGGGGACATGAAGAACATGATCTTATCCTTATGCAACTTTTTCTTATACAAAATGAATGTCCATTTCAATGTGTTTAGTGTGTTAGTGTTGAACTAGGTCGTCGGAAATGTATATGACCCTCACATTATCATAATAAACAATTGTTTATGTAGCGAGAGGAAAATGAAGTTTAAGAACGAAGATGTGTAACCAACATGTTTAAGCAACACCATTAGAAATACCACGATATTTCGCTTTTGTACTGGATCTAAACAAGGTGGCTTAATGTTTGGAAGATCAAGAAATGAGATTATCACGTAAGAATATGTAACGTACCAAAAACCATAGTAAAAGTTTTCATTTTTCAAAAGAAATCTTCATAAAACCCGTAAAGTAATCAATCATTGTTTCAAAAACAAAACCATAAAAATCAGACTATTAGTATTATCTCTCAAACATAAATAAGTAGATGGATGTGTACGATCACGCCTTCACCTTGTCCCGGTCATCTGAAGTACCTGAAAACATTTAAATCCACAACCGTAAACCAAAACGTAGTAAGTTCCCCCAAAATACCCCACACAACGATACACATATAATACATGCACTAATGAACCTACAGTCTGCTTGGACTGCCTCACAAGGCTTACAGGGAGCCTGGACTTCTCTACTAAGCCTATAGTCTACTTTATCGCCTCGCAATGCCTACAATAGTTGGACCGCTCCCTTGGGCCTACAGTCTGACAGGACCGCCTCGCAAGGCCTATAATACATTGGACTGCCTGGGTATCTTAGCCTACAGGACAAAACAAGACTGCCTCAAACCTACCATAATATGTCGACATATGCAAATAGATAAACAATCAAACAATAACCAACAATGCATGTATCATAACAGATCATTACAACATATTAACATCCTACACACAAGGATACATACTGCAGTACAAAGTATAGTGATAAAACTCACCAACACAACTCACACAATTGAAGAACTAGTACTATAGGTCATCTATACAAAAATCAGGGACCAATACTTAAACTACAACCCAAAACCCTCAAATTGACCTAAAGTCAAATTCAGTCAAAAAGTCAAAAGTCAACAATCAAAGTCCATCAGTTGGTCACCACGTCATAACTAATAATTTGCCACATTGTGGTGACCTCACGATAAAATAGTCATAGACGTCACTTAACGCCATGTAGTGCAGACAAAATCTCCATGTCGTGGGAACTGTCCTAACCAGCTTAATGCATTAAGCTCTTAATCCTTCAAGAAGCTCATTTATACTCTCCAAAAAGCCTTATTAAACTCCAAACATCGTAAAAATAGTTGTCTTTTAGGCATGCATGTCCAATGCATGTCTTGAGCCCAAGCCAGGACAAAATGGAGGAAATGAGACCCAAAATTACATGCATAACATCAAGACTCTATTAAACTTCAGATATGGAACATATGTCCACAATGGGACCCCATGGATCCATAAAGTTGCCAAATTTATGGAGTCCAACCACTCAAACTATATCAATCTTGAAGAATAATGCAAAGAAAAGTAGATCTAGAAGAATGAAACATAAAGGTTGGAACTTGAAGACTTGCAATGGTCCATAAGATGAGCTAGAAAGTGGAGAAGGGGCTTGATTGTTGGATCTTCACACAATGGATGCCATCTTCTTCTTCTTCTCACCAAAAATTACCACAAAACTTCAAAAACTCAACAACGGTGGCTATGGGTTCTTCTAGGTCGAAAGGTAGGTGATGGAGGCTAAGTGTGTGCAAACCCTAGCCATCACATCCGTTAAATAGGGCTTAAAGCCCAAAAATAGGGGTTTCGACTTGGCAGCCGTCACGCCGCGGCTAACATCATACTACAACGTGGGGACCTAAATGAATGTGTGTTTCATTTGTCTATGGCCACAACGTGGTGCATCCTTTGCCACATTGTGGTCACCATAACATTATTTATTTAAGACTTGAATTACCAAAACTCATAAGTGTTATTTACCTGGAACGTGGTGTTACA